GAATAAAATTTTAATAATTCTCATCAATGCATATGTAAAAATATTATTTGTAGAAGAGCTAATATATTCTATTTAAAATTCTATCTGAAAGCATGTTTTTAATTTTCAATTTATTCTTCATATTTTTTTATATTTTTCATATTTTTATTTTAATGTAACGTCGTAATTTTTTAAAAATATTATTTGCATCATTTGCTATTGTATATAAAATATATATGTAGAATAATATTGTATATATTGTATAAATAAAGCCAATTTTCTGTCGAAAATGATTATTGAAAGTGATTAAAGTTTAAATAGAATATATTTTCGTTATTATATATTATATATACTGTAACATTGTATAATATATTCTATAATATTATATAACATTCATACCAATAAATCAAATATCGGCATTTCTCTACGAAAATAGCTATAAAAGTTCTCAATGATTTACAAAAAGAAAACGCGTATAAATGCAAAGCAAAGAAGCATTTTATAGTCAAAACTTTCGCTTGATATCGCATAAATTTTTATTTCTCTTTATATGAAATTTTTATTTCTCTTTTTATAGTCAAAACTAACCGTAGTAAAAATCACTAAATGCTGTCGATATACTTGACGAAAAAATATTTTACTAGAAAAGTAAGATCGTGATATTGAATATAATGTTTTTCAAAGAAATTGTTTTGAACGAAATCTGAAAATTACACTTTGCAATTTTGTGGTGAAATCTGCCATTAAGTTAACGACGTAGCGAGAAAAATACGAGAAAAACGTGATCGGTGCCTGTATTTCTTGAGAAACGGTCACGATTGTGACTGCAACTAAGAGGAAGAAGGAAAGACGCGAGATCGATTTCCGGATTAAATTACCGATTCCTTGAGATTCTGCTGGTACTTCGTAGGAGAAAAAAGCTACGTAAATAGTAGTAATCAGTAACAACCTTGATTTGAAAAATATGGTTTCCTAGCTCCTCCATTAATAAACGATAACGAGGCTTTAAATCGATGATTTTGTCCGCGCTTTTTTATATTTCTTTCTTTTACTACTGGAAATAATGTCATTGGGCGTGTACGCCACGATTTGATTATAAAGGAGATTTTTCGTAATCGTGTTTATTTATTCTCTTTTATTTTTAATCGAATATAACGACAGAATTACTGTACAGTACCTCGATTATATTTTACAAGAATTTCGATTATATTTGAAATAAAATTCAACAGTAAATTCTAAATATTTAGAAGAAATCAAAGGAGTGGAAGGTTTCAGAAATAAGAGACAAATTTTTTTTATAAAAAAAACTGTTATACAAAAGTTATTAAAAAAAACAGATATATTTCTTATTCTGAGGAGAATTATTGCTGTCAAGCAGATTTTGTAAATTATTAATTAATTTAACAGAATTAATGTTTTTTTTTAGATTTTAGATAACAGTTTTTTAAGTTTAATACTTATGTAATGATATTACAATAAAATGGAGTTCCAAAAAGAGAAACTTCTTACGTTTATTAAATAAATTTCCATTTTTAGATTTTTTATCGAATTACGACAAAAAAATTTGTAAATAAGTAGCAGAGAAATAAATCTTGTAAGTTATACTCTTTCTCTCCGTTTATTCTTTTTTAATGTAATTATTTTTTAATATAAAGGAATTTAATAATAAACATAAAATTACGGGGTGATTTAAAATCAATAGCAGAAAAAGTTATATCAGTTCTTTAGGAAAAGGGAACTAATCGTATCATTCTTTTTTGTATTACTATATGCCACTCATCATATATAAACCAATGACAATAAAAATAAAAACAATAAAAATAAGACTGATAGTATGAAATTTTTTTTTAATAACCCCGTTTTACAATTAACAATTTGTTTCAGTGAATATTTGGTTAATTTTTTTAGCATTTTGTTTAATTAGCACGTAGATACTTTCCCATTGGAACGATAGTATGAAATTTAGTTATTTAGTAGTAGTTTGATAACATATATCTATATACAATAATATTTTGAAATCGAATATGTACAATAAATCAAATAAATTTTTCATTAAATAGATTATAAAAACTTAAAAACAATTTTCAAAATTCAATGATCTTGCTGTCAATATATAATATATTATGTATTAATTAATTTCTTAACTAGAATTTTTTATATTTTTATGTTTTTTGAAATATTTAATTACATTTGTATTTTCAGAATAAAAGAATAAAAGAAAAAAAGGAATCAAATCCATGTTAAGTAAATAATTTCTCTTCTTTCATTTATTTAGTGACTATAGAATTTAATACACATTTCATAGCTGTAGAATTTAATAGATTTTTTCTTCTATTTTATGTTTAGGTTTTATATTAAATATACTAAAATGCGTAAAATAAATTGCAAATAAAATCTATAGATATACTGTAATATATAACGCATGATAACGCGTTTTAATCAATAGTGTCTCATTCTCGAGAAACGTTGTTTACTTGAAATATTGTTGAAGGATCAATTACAAATTTTATTCAATGCGCACAATGGTAGCATTCAATCTTAGAAACGTTTTTCTATATTTTGCACTCTACGATCTTTCATTCGGCAAGGTTTGTTGAATTCTAATAATTTCCGTTCACGGTTTGGTATCGATAATCCCATTGTCGAGAGGGTATCGAGAAAACTCCGCTGCTGGATGGAGTACCGTAGAACCGCAGAAGACTGCTAATGCACTGTCAACAATGGATCTCTCACCAGCAAATCTCTTCCTGCTGCAATGAATTCGAGCTATGTTGACTTCGATTACTTCGCGTGCAAATGACGCCTGCGTAGTCTGTAATTTTTTTTCTTTTTTATAAAATTTAACCTATATTTTAATATAATCATCATATCGCTATCTCTCTTCTTTCTTTCTTCTTTTTTTTTTTTTTAGATATATGCTATACATATCAAGGTAGAAAATATAATTCAGTGTCTGTTAGAAATGTAGGAATGTTTTCGATTTTGTGAATGTTTTCTTTTTTTATTATTAAGTTAATGCGAATAGTACATAGTTTTCTCAAACGAATCAGACGTTATCAGAATTTTCAGAGAATGTTTCCTTTGTTAATTTTTCATAAACGATGCAATAAAGATGGAAACAGCAATGAAATTTGAAATACCAATTGTTTTTTTTATTTGTATTTGTTTTAATTATACATGTATTTTTTATTTTTTATATATTTTATTTTATTTTTTTATTTGTGTTTGTTTTAATTTCATATATATATTTATACACATACATATATACTGGAAAAAAAAATGAGAGAAGTCAAGAAAATTATTATTCTACAATATCATTTTAACTCGTACAAAATTCAGTTGTCTATCTTCCAGATTTTTTACTCTTGCTATGGATGGAATTACTTTCACTAATTTCTCCCGAGCTTTATTTACAGAATTTTTTGTTCTTCAATTTCGTTCGTTTCTCAACGATACAACCGTTAGAATAATTCCTAACACCGTTTTAAGCTTTACTAAATAAAAAATTCATACTCTTAATAACTTCCATGATATACGTTTCAAGTTTAAATTCATAAAAATGTCATGCGAGTGTTCTCTTTGTTAACAATATCAATAATGAAATTTTCTGAACATATGTATGAAATTTTCTCTTTAGCAGTGTAGTTTTTAGCAATTGAATACAAGACAAAATTTAAAAGATATCTGCATGTTAACTTCAAATTTTGATCGATATTCAATTTTAAACTTTGAAAAGTATTTGTTCCATGTGAACGAAATGGAAATTCCTTCCTGTAACTGTAAAAGAGATTATATAAACGTAAATCGAAACGTTTTTCTTGGAACAAACAATCTGTGATCAATAATGTATTTCTTATTTATGATACTATTCATACTTTATAAAAAAATAAACATTCTTTATAATACTTTTCCGTAAAATACTTAAAAAGTATGACCATACTTCTGCAATAATATTAACATTAATAAAATTTTATGTCTGTATTAACAAAATTACATTATAACTGTAAAGCTCGAGTTTTAAACAGAGATAAAAATCGATAATTTTAAATAATAAATCATGTCCAATAGATAGGTATCTTTTTAATTTTTATTTTTATTTTTAATTTTTTATTTTTGGAATAAGAAAATATTATTCTTAACATAAGAAAATTAATTCTAGTTAATAAAGAAAAATAATTATAATAATAATTAATATTAAAAAAGGATTAATATCAAAGGATTTGGATTTGAAACGTTATTTCAAAAGTTTTTCTTTAAATTACAGCGGACGGATAGAGAAAAGTTTAAAAGATAAGTGACATACGAGATTCCATAATTTTTGATAAAATGGAATCAGATTTAACAAGAACAATGAACAAATGATTATCATTAATGTTAATGGTATGAAAGTTAATAATTTTCATGTATCTTTATATATACAATTTTAAACTTTTTTTTTGTTCGCTATTGTATATATTATTATATTGTTCAATTTTAATTTGTTAATACTTTTAATATTTCTGAAATAATCTTTCAAAGTTGAGTTTTTTGATTTTAATATTATCAACTATCCTACAAAACACAATGAAATATAATAATGCACAATTGTTTCAAAATAATATCTATACAGCTACAAACATATTATTTTAATGATCTTTTTTAAAGCGAAAGTTTTAAAAGGATATAAACATAAGCAAGTATATCTGTATTTCTTTGTATTGTAATTTTTAATATTTCTAATGCATAAAAAGAACGAAGTAGCAGCTTCGGCATTTCTGTTTCTAAGAGTTGTTTAAAAAATATCAAGTTTTGTGTTTCGTTGGAAAGAGAAATCGAAGGGAGAAAAAGGAACGAAGGGAAGAAAAGGAACGCAGATTTGCGATAAATCATCTATCGGATGAATTTTGGTAAACTGGTGGGGGTGGGGAATCAGGGAATGGGAAGTAGCAATACGGAGCATCAGCAAGAGTGTAAGAGGGAAAGCGCAGGGTGGCAAATGCGGAGTTGCCACCCTTCGTCAGCTGTCCTGTACGAGACGCCAGTATGCGTCGTGGCTTCGCCACGTGCTTCTCGTCTCTTTAGATACTTTGCGTTCATCATCGTCGACGATGTTTTCGTATATAACCGTGTTCTTATTGTATTAACTTACCGATCAAACCGCGATTTCTCGCACTTTCGCGATGCAGCCGATTCAGAGGATTTGTTTGTGACCGTCGGTCTCATGACCATGTGACGAACGAAATATTTAATTTTTTTTGGACACGAATTCATCATGGAGATTTCAGTGTCTTTCGAACAAACGTAATAGGTAAGTTTGTGAAAAAAAAAAATTGTTCTTTTACTGTTACAATTAATCGCAGTTTGTTAATATTAGCGAACTAGTGTTAAAATTACGTTAAAATATTAAATACCAGTTTCATCTCGAAGGGAAAAGTTTTCTGATCGAAAATCTTATTCTTTTTCTTTTTTGTAACATTCATTGCTATTTATTTGTACGCTCAGTATTGAATTTTTATCTTAACAATCAATTTTATAAATCGAATGCACAGTCAAAACTGCTTAATCTTCGATAAAAATTTTTAGAACTCTTTTTATACCTTGATCGTAAATACAATTTTTGATTTAGGAATATAAAATTATTTTCGGTTCTTTTCATTGCAAATTTTATTATTTGGTGATTATATAAAATGCAATAGATAAAATGTATTTTTACACACCAAATTCTCGTTAATAAATAATTTTGTCAGCAAAATTTACGATTTATGTAAAATATGTAAATTATATAAAATATAAGAAATTCTCAAAAAATTTTTTGACAAACTGAAATAAGAACGTAGTTAAATTATTGTTTGTATAATTTATAAAAAATCTATAAATCAGATTGTAAGTGTTTTCATAACATGTGACAGAATTTTACATTTGAAAATTTTAAATTTGATAGATCACTCTATTATTCATTAATGCTTTTTGTATACCATCTATTAATAATTTGAATTATTAGAAGAATTTGTAATTTGATATTCAAATATGATGATTTACTTGACTTTTTTTTTTATAGTGAAATTTATATTAAAAATTGAGTTGTTATCTTCACATTATAACAAAATTCACGTTTTTAAAAACATGAATTTATTTTTTATTTTGTATTTGATGTTTGCGGTTCATTATAGAGAAAAATGATGAAGAAGTAAATTGATGACAAGTGAGACTGAGGCACATAATAATAACTATTTATTGACGCGGAACAAAATAATTGGATGATAAAAATAAATATTATATTGTATTTCGCTAAGAATTTAAATTATAAGAAAACCAAGTTATTTAAATTAAATAAAACCGAGTTTACTTTTAAAAAGTTAGACAATTATTTTAAAATACAGTGTTGTAAATTTGGGATGTAATATAAATGACATACATATTGAAGTTAGAAATGTGTATGTAAATTTTACGTATTTGTTTGGAGAAATATAACAAATAAACTGCGAGTTATAGAGCATTCTATAAAATGCATTATAGAAAATTTGAAGGTGCAAAAATACAACACAGTGTACAAAATGTATAAAATATTTATAGAAGAATAAATATTAAAATATTTATAGAAGAATATTTTTATTTATTAGAAGAAGAATATTAATCACAATAATGTCTAGAAGAAATAATTTTCCGTCAAGTTCCATTTCTTTAATTACGTTTATGCAAATTTAAAAATGCATAAAAATCCGTCTAATAATAGGTAAAATACATGTAAGTAAATATTCAATTGTGTGTATACATATGGAATTATATTATGTATATATGATACTCCATCTATTTCTGTTGTTTATTACGATTGTTTAATAAAATAAAATGCAATATTTATCGGTACTATAAAAATGTTGGAAAGAATTTGTTTCTATAGCGAAACAAAGGATATCTTGAACTTTTTAAATAGAATCATATATATTTTCTTTTTTTCTTGTTACATTATGGGTAGTATTAAGATGGATTGAAAAAGTATATTACATAATAATTTTATTATCATAATGTCATCAGAGTAAATAATACTGGAAGTTTGCAAGATGGAATTATTGTAATATGTAGAATTATAAATCGAGTCTGGTAGCAGCAATACAATTTTTAAAAAAGGGCAGAATATTGCATAGTTCACTTTTAAACATCGTTCTATGTTTACATTCAGTAATCCAAACTAGTTTAATATTTTTCAATAGAGGAAAGTTGTTTTTACATACATTAATTTGTTAATCAAATTTATACACAATTCGGAGTAATACAAAATGATGTAAGTCGAAGTACGTAATACAATCGATACACTTGTTCATAGTGATAATCAACACGTGATTCATAATAAAATACTCTTACCAAATATAGTCGTGTTACATGATAGATTTTCATCGTAAATATTGTTTGTAATAAAATATATTGAAGATTGATCTTGATAATCTTGGTTTCGCTATGAAAATAGATTATGTTCCAAATATTTGTTGTGTTCTTGATACTGATAAATTTTATTCAACCACTTGTTTTTGTTACGTTGCAAATTGCTGAAAAATTGTAGTATATTACATGAGACAAAATATATTTATGTATATAGTTATGTTTAGATATAGTTGAATTCAGCAATTAAAGTCTAAGAATATAAAATTTAAATTTTTTTAGAAATAAAATTACGGAAAAATATAAAAATTAGATTACTTTAGATATTTTAATTTAAACTAATTTTTTTAACTTATGAACCTTCGTACATTTTATATTTTCGTATTGTATTTATAATATTGTATTTATCAAAGCAGAAATTTGAAACCTGTATTCACAATATTTTTTAATACCTTATATAAGATGTAACGGCCATAACTTTTCATGCACTTTCAACTATTGTAAAAAAAATATAAGAAATTCTCAAAAAATTGTTTTTTTAAAAAAATTCTTTAAAAATTTTTTAAATGACATTATATATTTCTGACACTCATATTGCTATAGTGAACATCAAGACGAATTCAATAACTTTACGCTATGATTTTAACATAACCTTGGTTCTCGCAATTTCAATTAAAGGAATTGTTACCAAGACAAACTGTTTTATTTCCATCAAATTAGATAAATATGATTATATTCAGTAAATAAAGTGTCATTATCATTACATTATAATCATACGTTACATTATAAAAAAAGCATAAATAATGTATAAAAGTAAATTTTTATATATTATGACATTAAACACTCTTATAACAATTCAAGTATTTATTCTAATGAATACTATATAAGGTACGTTTATTTTTGTATGTTATTTTATATGCTTCTTTTATAATGTACGCATGATATTTTGCTGAAGACAACCATCATGTACATTTCGAAATTCATGTGCAAAACAATATTTTCCTATATTTTGTTCCAACAAGAATCAACAAATAATTACTTTTCGAAAATGAAAGAATTATTTTAAAATTTGAAAGAGATAATACATTTAATCAATATGTCATTGAAAAACAGTTTATTTTTTCGAAATTTGCAGCCCTTTTCTATTTATACTCCAATATCAATTAGATATTTATTATCATTTCTATTAAATTATTCACAACGAGCAATATAAAAATTGAGAAAGAGTTTACGAAATTATAAATAAAATCGATGGAATAGGAAGGAAATGCAAGAAAAAGAGAAGGTAACAGATAAACAGTTAAATACAATTTTTATTAATTTTTCCTCTAATTTATATATAAAAGTCATTGAAAATGTCATTGGATGTCATTGAAAATAAAGATATTTAAATATTCAATCATAGTTAAAAGCATTTAATTTTAACCTTCCGTAGTCGTTTCTGTCTGATATCAAATTTTACTTTTGAATTTCTTCAAAGTGAATTACTTCTTTAAATATTTGATTGAAAGACCGATTGTATATTACGTAAAGACATCAATAAACATCTCAGAATTTTTTCAGTTTTTTTAAAAATCAAAAACTAAAAATTTGTAAGAACAAAATTACTTTCTTTTTCAAAAATATCTACTATTTGAAGCATTAAACAATTAAAACTTACATTAGGTGATTGAAAAATGTAATACATTCACTTCTGTTCAAATGATGCAGATTAATCATGCTACAAACAAAGATATCTATACGAACTTAAAAAGTGAACTTAAACAAAAAAACAGATTCTAATGAAATTTGCATCCTTCTAGCGATTATAATTTATAGGGTGCAATTTGTGTTCCCTTTTCCCTTACGTACGTATACATAGTTACCAACATTTGAGCATTAAAGAAATATGAAAATTTAAATATTTAATTGAATTATATTATTAAAACAAAGATTTTTCAAATTAGCATAGTTTACGTGAAAATATGAAAATCTAATAATATTAATCATTTCTATCATGTTTGAACGAACTTAAATATACACAAATAGGTACATACATAAATGTTTTATTATAGTATATTTTCCATAAAATATGTGTCCAACACAAATTATCAAAATCGCATCTTAAAATAGGTACATGTTGATATTAAATATTATAAATGGTTAAAAGAATGATTGAAACTAATACTTGTGTGTGTGTGTGTGTGTGTGTATATATATATATATATATATGTCACATGAACATAAGTAAATTGTATAAAAGAAATTATACAAATTATATAAATTTTATACAGGAAAAGAATTTTTTTTCTTTATCTACTATGTTAGTTGTGATACAAAAATCATCTATTCTAGGAGTTTACTAATATATATATTAATCTACCTCAATTTTTCTCAATGAAAAAATTTTTTCAAGATAGGATTAATTAATCAAAGTTAATCAAATCATCTTCTTAAAAATTTCAGAAGACTATATTATATATTAGAGGGGAAATAATTACAAAGCATAATATTATAATTTTGAATCAATTAACTTTGTTCCAATTACAATTCTTTTATCAATAAAAATAACTAAGAAAAATTCATGATAAGTGAAATACCTTGCATTTACTCATAACTGATTGATTGTCACAAAAAATAACGCTGTTATTTGTACTGTTTAAACATTTTTTTCTATTCGCCTCTATAAGTAAATAATAAAAATATAAAAATCTTTTTACTACTAAAGTAACTAAAAAGAAAAGAAATACAAGTAGATAAGAACTGTAGAAATTAATATTTAAATAATATTACATAAATATCTTTAAAACAACTCGAATAACGGGGCGTTATGTTGCATTTTCATATCTGATTATAAGTTAAATAAAAAAAGAAGAAGATATAGCACCACAGAAGAAATTATTTCTTGAGACTTTCTTTCAAGAAATTCATTTAATAATCCTTTTTGTACGATGT